TAACGGGGTTTTGGGGATATGGGTTTCGGGATTTTTTGGGCTAAGATTTGGGCGCCGAGTTGGCGAAATGGTTCCATAGAGGTTTGGGGCAAGGTGTCTTGTAAGTAAGGCGGCGTCCAACCTTGAGCCGGCACCGCCTCTGAAACCACCATGGCGCCCGCCAGCCTGAGCATGAAGAGAAGGACACAGAAGGACAAAGGACAGGCAAACATCCATCAACCACTGGCCTTCTTATCCTCTGACGGTCCCGCTCCGCTTCAGGTCCACCGGTGTGCACCGATATCAAGTCGATCAAGAAATCAGCCGGGTTCACCTGCAAATCTTTGTCACGAGGCTTTGCAAGGCAGGCAGGGTCAGCAGCACAGAAAGCACACTGCAGCTGAGAGTGCTTACCCCTTCGCGTGGGCAGGCATGTCCCCATGCTTCAAGATGTGCGAGGGCCTACACTGCCAGGCGCCAACATGCGCAAGAGCGTACACGCACACACACACACACACACACACACCAGAAAGGAGGGAAGAAAGCTGACGAAGCCTCCTCCGTGGGCCCACAGAAGATGCTTTGGCCCCCTGGCCTTAAACGCGGTTCCACCCGGGGCTGTGTTTGTTAAAGCTTTTTGTTTTGCAAGCAGAGGAACGCCAGAAGCAAAACGTCCTCAATCATGCTCCAGACGGATGACCTGGGTTGGTGGATTGTCCTTGGAGCGGAGGCCGGAAAGGATGCACTCCACACTGTGAAGGCTCGACCAATCACTCAGCTGCAAGCAAGATAGTTGCACAGTGACGCGCCTTTCCCAGCTCTCCCAGAAGCTGAACCATGTCCGCAGCTTGAAAAGTATCCTGCAGCCAAGCACAGGTGCCGATGCTGTGACCTATGTGACCTGCTGTCTGCAGGCAAGAACAAGCGTCCAGACCAGTCGTTGGCTCGTCTGCCAGCAGTGCTTTGGACTTCTGCGTTCCGCCCTGGCGGTGGCTTGCTCTGGTCATTGCCAACAAAGCAAGCAAATAGCAGGGAACGTGCACACCTCCCCTGCCAATGCACAGGCGAGTGCCAAGCGGCGCTGCTCACCGCCCGACCTTATCGCTCATGAGCGACGACCAGTTTTTGCAGATCCTCGTCGCGAGAACTCCAGCGTTGATCCCTTCGAGTTTTTCGAAGACTGGGTCGCAGACAGTCCTTGGCCTGGCACAGGGTACATGTGCGGCTTGCTTCAAAAACTTTTTCAGCCGGAAACGGATTAAGGCCATTGGCCCGGCAAGGAGAATCCGGCCATTCTAGTCATCTCAAGTCTAGTACTGCCTGCTAGCAGACAATTGCCTGGAATGTGCCGTGCACATACACATTTTCTGTCCTGCGAGCATCGGTTGAGCAAAACGCCTTTCTGAAAAAGCACAGACACCGCATTCCGGTGCACCTAAACTCAACCCTTCAAGGTGAACCAGGGTGAGCATAACACACAACACATGACATAGCAGCAGCCTGAGCTCCCGATATAGCGCTCGCCGACACGCCGGTCCGCCACAGCCTCCAGCCTCAAACATCAAGTCACAGCCATCCATTGGCAGATTCGCTGTTGTGCAAGCGGCAAACAGCCTTAACCTCTTCAAGAGGGTGGCCGCCTCCGTTGCCGCTGCACTTGTGGACATGCCCTGCAGGGTTGCACGCGAGAATCAACAATCAGCAAAGCACAAAAAAGCGCACACCGCTGCCAATGCTATCCACAACACACAATCTCACCACACTTTACATGAACATCCAAGGCACACAGATACACATGTAATCGCATGATGTAGATGCATGCACGCAAAAATGGATGGATGGATGGATGGATGGATGGATGGATGGACGGACGGATGGATGGATGGATGGATGGACGGATCAATGGATGGATGCATGGATGGATGGATCAATGGATGGATGGATGGATGGATGGATGGATGGACGGAGGGATGGAGGGATGGACGGAGGGATGGATGGATGTATGGATGGATGGGTACATACATATACACACATATACATACATACATACATACATACATACATACATACATACATACGTACATACATAATTGCATAAATGCATAAATATATACATACATACATACATACATACATACATACATACATACATACATACACATACGCATGCGCATACACATACACATACACATACATGTACGCATACAGATACATGTACCTTTACATATACATACACATACACATATACACACATATTATGTATGTATGTGTATATATGAATATATGTACATACACACACACACACGGAGAGAGAGAGAGAGAGAGAAAAAAGTACATGATCAACTGACAACACAAGTATGTATTTGATCTGTGTATTTCATGTATTTGTTGACATGGGCACCAAAAACACACACGCCATTAATCGCTCGTCGCCTCCAACTGGGCTGCAAACCAGATGGTTTCGCGGACCGTCAGCTGTGAGAAGAAGGGTACATCCTGACTGACGGCAGTACGGCGTGCCAACGTACAAACTGAAGTAACTGAAGGCTAAGCATCTTTGGTGGCTTTAAGGGACAGCAATAATAGTCATCAGAACAGTCAACAATACAGCGAGGATTGGCTTCTGCCAATGCTGCGAATGCGATTGCTCAGACCAGTCCTGCTTTCGAATGCATAAATCACTGCACTTCTGTACGTCCGAGCAATGCGCAATGCTAGGAGTGCTGCAAATAGTTGTGATGCACACGAAGATGTTGCCAGTGCTCCAAGTTGCGATACATTGCAATGCTTCTGTTCTTTTTAATGTTGCCAGAGTTCGTAAACTACAACATGCCAACTGTTTCAAAAGCACGGAAACGCCTTCAATTATGCACTTTTCAAGTTTCGAACGCTGCCAATGCTCTAGATGACGATGATTCTGTTCGAGTCCTGCACATGCTGTACATATCCGTAAGTTAACGTACTTCTGCGCTTCCGAATATTGCACACCCTCTGTTTGCAAATGTTGAGAGGAAATTATGTAGTGTCTGTGCTCACAGGTGTGGCATCTGTGTGCGTATGTGTGTTTGTGTGCGCGTGTGTTTGCCTGCAGCGAAGATGCTTCAAGCAATGCTACGAACTGCGACCCTTCTAGAATGGAGTTAACCAGGGTCGAGGGAAACATCGGGCAGGCCCACGCAAATTGATCGGACAAGAAATCGCGCAGGGGCAAATACTGCAGGTTGCGAGGCGCCGGGACATCATCGCGGGTGCATATATGCACTGATGGGACGTGTCGGGCGACCCTTCGTCTAAGGCACTAAGTACAGCATAGGCATAGTCACTTTTGCAGCAATACCTTTGTGCTTCCCAATTATTCGCTCTGTCATTGCTTAGAATGCTTCAGTGCTTGCGAGGGAGGGTAAAAGTAAGTTAGCTTTAGTTTCTTCCTTTCTTCCTGCCTTGCAGCCCGGGGACTTAAAGGTACAAGCCAAGCCTGGCGGAGCCTTGCAGCAACCCCCAACCCAAAAGCAGAGTTGCAACTCACACTTTATCTTGGCAATTCTGCTATTTCTACACTGACACGCAGTGCCAGGGTTCTGAACCAAGACTCGTGGAACAAGATGGTCTGCGGAACTTCGGTGCCACACCGTTGCAGGATGTGCAAAAACGATAAGACTAGCAATCGGAATGCTGAAGAAGACAATAGAAGAAAGACAAAGCAGAGTGTAAGAGTGCTTGTGCTGGTTACCACACTGACAATGCAACGAACAATGGAGTGGCGTACTGTAAGGCACCCACAGTACTAGCGGTAAGAACCCCAGAGCCGTCTCCTGCTCAAGAAGAGCCATGGTCCCCTCTGCGACGCCCACCCTTAGAGTGGCGAAAGGGAGGATATGTGGTGTGGCGGCACTCAGAGTACAAGCGAGGCTTATGCAAAGATCCCAATATAAGCCTGCAATAGCAACAGCCAAAAGACGCGAAAAGTGTAAAGCTCGTCATGCTAGCGGGGATGCAAACAAGTTCACCGCACAGGCATCTAGTCGATGGTGAAAGCACATCTTCCTTTCTGGTTGAGCCGGTCGGCAGCATTGAATGGGTGAAACGGTGTCGCGTTCGACCTTGCTGACCCCGGCCAAGGCACGAGAGTTTTGAGACTTCTCGCATCATGGGTCTAACTTGATCAAGGCTCGCTGTTTTTGGCATTTTTTGGACCAGTTTCCCGAGCCATGTGCACTGGTAAAACCTCCCAGCACCGCAGCAAACTGTTCTTGCAGGGTGTTCTGTACTTCTTGGAGGCCACATGCATCAGATGGAAAACATCGCAACTGCAGCTGAATTCGGGGCTTTGAGCCGGCAATCCTATGCTGGCCTGGTCTCCGTGACCATCTCCATCAAATGCTCCATCTTTTGGATCTGAAGATCCCAGTCTGTCAGATTAGGGTCAGTGTCCTCTGTTCGAACGACCCCCGCCCTCAAGTTCGGTGACAGCTTCAAGGTGTTCACCCCCCCACGATCATCTCCGACGATGATGATGGGCTCACTAGAGCTGAATGCAACATGTGTCAGCTTCGCTCGCTTGACGACTTTCTGCTCACAAATGCGGTTGTTGCGGTCCACATGCAGGTCGTAGAGATGGACCACGCCACTGGTCGAACCACCTGCGCCTTCAGATGTGATGGCGGCAAAAGTGGTGGAGGAATATGGCGCCCAGGCCACGTCTCCAATTGCTTGCGCTAAATCGAAGGATAAGATTGCCTGGCGACTTTCGTGATTCCAAAGCTTTACTGTCCAGTCGGCCGATCCGGAGATAAATATTTTGTCGTGGAAAGGATTCCAGCGAACCGTGTAGACAGCCATGGTATGACCCTCGTACGTTTCGAGGTACTGGCCACTGAATGCCTTGGAGCACTTGTGGATGCGTCCTTCTTCAGTTCCAACCAAGAAGAGGTGGTTATCCTTCCCAAGAAGCAGGTGTTTCAGTCTTTAGCACATGTCTGAGTTGAATCCCACAAACTCAAACTTTCCCGTCGGTTGACAAACACAGAACAAGATGGACATGTGAACTCGACATGCAGCGCCCGACCCGCTCCTTACCACCTCGGAAGTCGAAACAAAGGCCTCCCGCAAGACCTGATCGGAGGAGCAAAAGCAATAGCCAGTGGGAAGTAGCAAAACTGTGGACGCTTTGGTCATGCAGCTGCCTGCCAAGGTTGTCTCGTCCTCACCCGCAGCTGCGGATATAAGCTTCAGCTCCATCACCTTTTTGCAAGGAAATCTTTCCGGGCAGATATGCAAACCAGGTTGCAAAGGCAGCACAGCGCAGAGACCTGTAAAGTGTAAAGGACGTCGTCTGACACGCCTCTTCGCTCTCCAGCTTGTTCTTCAACAAGAACCAGTTCGAAACTCGTCCATCTGAGGAGATGGAATAAAAGTTCATGGCCCCAGCTGATTCGTCATCATTCCAGCGCACTTCCCACACCTCAGTTCGAAGGCCCCAACACACACAAGCTACAAAGACACTGGAGGTGTGCTTGTTCTTCATATTTCTGCTGTTGCCCCACGCGGGGCGCATCAGAACGGAATAGGCTTATCGGTCTCACTGAGTGTGTGGGAGAGAATGAACGCAGTCACGACGAGTCATGATGGGCACTACTAGTGTGCTGGCTCACTTTTTGAAGCAGGGCTCTGCAGCATGCCTGCCCCAACCCCGGGACCCCGAGCTTGATCCCGACCACGGCAAACAAAGATAATTGATTACGCACAACCAAGAACACAACTAGGAGTACACTCGGGGTACTTACTCAAAACCCATGGAAACGACGAACACCCGAAACAAAAACAAGAGTAAACATAATCACCTCGGCAGTCGACACGACAGCTGCTGGCAGCTACTATCAACATTCATTCAACGAACAGCAAAAAGAGCAGATATGATCGCAAGCAGATGGCATATAGAGTAGACCTACTCTGTGAAAGAGAGCGTCTTGCTACCACGACAACAAAAGAATCCACACCATAACAAGAAATATTGGCACCACGAGAGAAAAACAAGTTTACCACAACAGCACATGAAAACCTCACCACGACAAGGCATGAAAACCTGACCACGACAAGGCAGCGGCAGCAGCAGCATCAGCAGCAGCAGCAGCAGCACACATCAGCATCAGCAGCGCATATCAGCATGCCACGCAGCCGGACGATGAGACTTTTGACCCCAGCCAAGACAATGCCGTACCGGGCCCGCTATCAGATTTGTTCGTGGACGTTGTTGTAAACTGATTGGGGCAGGAGATTTTACAGAACACATGTCTGGAGGCTACTTTGGAGGCCAATTCTCCATCATGCTTTGTACTTTCTGGGTTTGTGCCTCTTTCACAGGTCTCCAACAACCATAGTGCCAGCATCGTTAACATCAAGCCCGCCCCAAAACAACGACCAGGCACAACTTCGCGGCACATTACTGTTTGCGTATGTGCATGCAGTCCAAATAAGTCCTTGTCATAGCAAGGTGTTTTCAGGCTTGTCGTCTTCCGGCCCCCCCTCCATGCAAGGGAATCAACGCTGTGGAAGATTTGAGCCGTAACGGGTTAAAATGGTGATTCCCGCGCGTTGCCACGTTCCCCCACACATGTGGGATCACTATTTTGGAGGATTCGGGCTGTGAAAGTTTACTGCAAAATGGTGATTATAGAAGCACGCAGTGTTACATCCTAACCATGTGTATGATCGGTTAAGTTCCCAAAGTTCTCAACTCAAGTAGTTCTCAAACCAAGTCCACACCAGCACACGCTGCCAGTCAGTGTAAGAAAAAAGCTTGTCGTTGTGGTTGGAAAGCTTGTCAATGTGCACCTAAACTGCACCCGAATAGGAGCTGTGTCAAGAACATGTACAGACCCAGCGGTCACTTGCCGTCAGGCCAAGCAGCCATTAGCACGTACTCGTGATCAAAACTCACAGAGGCCAGACCTAGATTCTAGATGGCACACAGGACCCATCAACCTTGCAAGATTTAGCTACCCGACTCACTCCCAGCTTTCTGTGTGCCTTCGAGTGCCACGCACCTACCTATCAGAAGTTTTGCTAGCGATGTCCTGCAGCCTGGGGGCAGGGTCCGTGTGCTTGTTGGTTCGAACCTGGAAGCACGATCCATCAGCTAACTGCAGACAGGCATTTCTGGCCACACCACTGGCCATGCTGCAGAAGGTGGCAGTCGAGACACGGTGCTTTGGTATATGGGCTTCTTAGTCTTCGCTCGGACATCATAGACGAGCACCGTGCCGTCATAGAGTCCGACAGCCAAAACCGCTGGATGAGCAGGATGCCAATCCTGTCTTCCGCGAGTCTGTGTGAGATTGTGAAACAGAGTTGTTGAGTGTGCGCAGGTCGCCAAGGCATACAGGCTCATAGCCGAGGCTCGAGGCAGCAAACGCCGGCGTCGGTATTGAACACATACTCGGGGAAGCGTGTGTTCTTCAATGAGTAGCAACAGATGACCCCTGTGCCCTGTCGCATGAAGTCCTCGGCGTTCAAAGCGATAGTCATGGGCCACGGGTCATGCTGATAACACCACGCCGCATCATGGAGTCCAAGGCTTCGAGAGCATGGAAGAATGGAGAGAGGCGCGTACTCTCATGTCTCATGTTGGTTAGCTTCTGTTGTGCAACAGGGATCCGGTAAGTCGCAAACCGCAATCATGCGACTGAGGAATCGAGCCAAGCAGCATAGGAACCAAAGCCCACAGCACAAAGGTCATTGTATCGCGGATTCCATTTGATGCAGGTGACCTGTCCCACTCCGTTGCTAGACTTTCCGTTTTCAATCATACGAACGGTTCCAAGCCTGCTTCTTCTTTGCCTTCTCAGACGAAAAACGCCACAACGGCAGCAGCGTCCCTTCGCCATCACGAAACTCGTCACTTCGATCCTGAGAGACAAGTACTGTAACATGTGGAACGCCGCAGAACACAATGGTCTTGAGTCTTGACGCCTCAGTGTGCAAAGCAACTGTCCTCCCAGAACTTGAAGTCATGGTAGACTTCGTTCTCTGCATTCCTGTCGTGGTGTTTGCAGTGTACACATGAGCAATCGCACGCTGGCTCAGGCCAGGCTGGGCAAGCATCCCGACATGTGAGGCTCAGCTAAGGCTCTGGTTGACCATGCGCTCCATGATCTTGATCGAGAGCTTCATGTTTTCCGAGTAGGTAGGGTCTGTGTCGCCCTTCTTCTTTTTGGCATCCGTCAGATCCTCGTACGAGATCTTGGACTTCGTCTTCTCCTGTCCGGGGGAGCAAACTCGTGAATTTCTGCTGCTGTTTCGCACCAATCTTGGAGGTCCCGGGGTTCGGCTCAGCACATTGGCCTGCCGTAGTTGTTTTATTCGCCCCGAATCTATGCCGCTCACGTCTGTGACTGAAGCATAAAATCTTGAGCGACAGTGGCATCGTCCCGAAGCATATCAGGAGAGTCCCGCTGCCCCGCTATGCATGCACGTTCTTGGCAAGCTGCTTCTTTCTCTTTCTCCTGCCAGGCAGACAACCAACAAGGTTCTCGCCTCTCACGCGCAACATTTGCTATTTCGGCTTGCCTTTGCCGCCTCGATGTCTGCCATGTACTGGTCGAAAATCTCCCACTGTGTAACAGTACCTGAGCAAAGACGACCATATAAAGGCGGCGGCAAGCAACGTCGCAAACCCTTGGACAAAAACCGCAGAGTTGCCGTAATTTCGAGTCGTGGGCGGTGGCTGTGTTGTCCACGAGCGGTCTCGTAGCAAGTGGTTCTTCGTCTGGGCAGCTCGCTCACTGAAGTTGAACTGGTTGCCTCGGCTGAACACGGAATTTGTGTGATCCTGTCCCGCCCCTAGAAGGCTAGAAAACAAGCTAAGGCTCGGAGAGGATTCTTTTTCGGAATTTCCTGAAGATGTACATAAGGAAACAGCACATCTACCCCGGGGCACTGACACTTGGCGATGTCCTTCTCGTTTTCCGGAGGGTCAAAATCTTCATCGATCGCCTCTTGGCTATCTTTTTCAGTCTGCTCCTGCTGTTTCTTGTCCAGAACCTCGTGGCGGCGGTCACCAAGGTTAGCGGGAAACAGTAGCTTGACTTTCTGGGCCTCGTCTTGATCTTGCGCTTCTGGGCTGTCTTTCAGAAGGATGCCACCATCCATGCTGAAATGCATGACCACCTGATCTACCTCGCGGCGGTTGGATTTTGGATGGGGACACAGGCAGACAGAGAGAGAGAGAGAGAGAGAAAGAGAGAGAGAGAGAAAGAGAGAAAGAGAGAAAGAGAGAGAGAGAGAGAGCGTTGCCTTCCATCGGCAGCCACTCTAACGTTTCTCACTCGTTTCACTCGCAGCCCTTGTGGAAACTTCCTGTGCAAGGGTGCCTGCTCATCCGTCTTGAAGCACTTCCTCAGCACTGGGTGATCTATGGGTGGGTTGCCTCCCTCGTATGAACTGGAGCCAGGCTGCTCCTTGAAGGAGAACTGGGTCGTGTTGTGTGGAGCCCTGCGGTAACAAGAAGCATCATCACGTGGCTTCGTGAACATGGCCCACACATGTCCAAAGCCACAGCCCACAGCGCTACTCCACGCAACTGCGCCTGGGGTTTAGTGCGTACAGTACTCGTGGTGGAACGTCCTTCTCCAGCTCCTCTGGGCTCAGATCCAACTGATCGTCGGGTCGCACTTTGACCTCGGGCAGCTCTTGTCTCTGCAACACCATCGACGGCAACCCTCTTACCTGTGCCATCAGGGGGCGATCACAGGCATGTCATAGTCGTCCCCTGTCTCCTCTGGAGCCTCGGGAGGAGGAGTGCTGCGCGCTGGTCCCGCCGGTGCCTCGTGGAATCAGAGCGATCCAGGATCGGAAGGTCTGACTTGGGCCGCTCGCGCCTTCGGCATGGCGGCTTTCGGAGCCATTTCGCTTCCCCAGCGCCTTCAGCCAAGCTGCATAAGCTTCAATGTTTTCGAGACGAGAGCGACGGGAAGACAAGCATCACCCACCACTCCAAATCCGAGTGCAGCCGCGGTGCTGTAGCCAGGAACCACCCAGCACTTGAGCCAGAAATGATTTCGAAGAACAATCCATGTGATGCAGCACGGCACATCATAATTACACCAGTCAATCGGTAAGATGCATCGAGCTGACATGTCTCAGGATTTAGCCGACAGTTGCCAGAGCCATCGCAAACCGTGCCCGACCTGCTGCGCAACTTGCTCGTGGACTGAGCACTCAGAGTCCTCTTCCCTCTCAAGGCTCCGAAACATCGTAGTAGGCTCGCCACACACGAGCATTCGCCGGGGCTAGGCCAGCCAAGCCTTGACTGGACTCTTCTCAGATGGTGAGCTTTCGACAATTCTTCCGCGCCAGCGGCTGTGGAGCAGGAGCGACTTGCCAGCACCCGATGGGCCCATGACAGCAAGGCATCGCCCAGCACGGGCAAGCCTTTGCAACAAAAACTAAGAACTGGACACTTGGAGCTGAGCAGAACCTGCATAGCCAAGCAACCCAGAATGCGGCTCTACGAGCACATTGGTCCCAACGGTGACGGAGAGATTGGACCAGAAGATGCTTCCCTTCATGCTTCACATCTGGATTACACTGAGCTGAGGGCACATGATTCAATCTGAACCACACCTCTTCCATCGGTGCTGCCATGCAGCTGAAGTTGTGATGAGTTACGGAGCTCCGAGACTGTCTTACTTGCGTAGTCAGATGTATGTTGCTTCGGGTGGTAGGCAGACCACCTGCCCACACACGAACTTCAGCACTTGTTGGAGCAGGCTCTAGCGATGTATTGTATGGCTTGGTGTTGATCCGATTCGGAGCTTGTCTGAATGCGGCACCCTCGGAAAACTTGAAGATCTTGCGGCCTTGCCTCGAAGATCTTGCTGTAATCAAGCTGAGGAGATGCTGCGGGCACTGACAAGCTTGAAAGAAGTTTACAAGCCAAGGCCCCAAGCATGCAGGTTTGGCCACAGGTGGTCGAGCTCTGAGAAGCCCCCGTCCTTTGCCACCTGAGCGTAGTGACTGTTGAGCCAGTATGGCAGGTTCCTGGTTGGTTCAGTGTCACTGTGTTTGAGTGCACACGTGCCGAACCCAGACATACTTGGAAAGACGGCAGCGATTACTTGTGTGTTCCATCCGGGCTGAACACCGATGCATCCAAGGGAACAGCGGCCCCTAACGCGCAAGATTTTATTTGGCCCACTCAGATAGCATGGACCCTGTGGCAAAAATTACGTACATGATAATCGTGGCCTCGTCCATGCGCGAATGGCTGACTTTGGCTTGTATTTATGTAATACGTAATACAACTTACGCTACCCATCTACTCGTAATCTACGAATACGTTACATCCTGGAGCCCATGCAAGCTCTCCGATTCAGTAGAAAAACACTTTGGTCTGTGCCCCTGCGTGGGCTTGTTGGCTCCATTTTGCCGTGCACTTGGGTTCGATGCCTGAGCCTAGAAATTCCAAGGCTTTCCTGTTGCCTGCCGCACTCGTTGTTGAAAAGGGTCGACGACTCTCCCGATGCTTAGCTCCACAACTGCCACGTGCAACAACATCTCCAACGAGGCACGTCCGAAAAGCTGCAAAAAGCAAGGCCCTCCCTGCTGCATGCCCGAAATGCTATGCATATAGATGTCGCAGGACCAGATAGCCTAGGTGCATGGCAGTCCCGCATTCCGGCTCTTAGACTGATCGTTGGTCAAGAGAACTCAAGCGGACTGGAACCAGACCAATCCCAGCCGCGCCAAGCAAAAACTGCACCTGCAAGGAGTCGGATTTTGCAAGGAAGACTCGGTATGAGTCGCCAGACCACCGCAACAGAGATGCAACCACCGTTAAGAACAAATCGAAGGGGAGCAGGCGATTGAACGGAAAATCTGATTCAACTTGAATTAGGCGACAATTGCAGTAGACAGAGTTGGCGTCCATCGCGTCAATCGACGGATAGCTCCAAGTCTCGCCGCTGCGGCTCGCAGCCTACGCTTCCCTTCATGCCGGGCATTGAGCGCTGACAGAGATGCGCAAATAGGCACTACGAGCATGTGACTAGGTGCAATCAACCTTCCGTCCAGAGCTGCCCCCTGGCGAGGCTGCGGCTATGATGTTCTCGAAGATGTCCGGATCTGGATGGTCAACATACCTTCGCATTTGTTGCAGTGCGTTGCCGTGCCATGCCGTGCCTGCCAATGGTCCATGCAGGTGGTACCGCTCAGGAACCTGCTTTTCCCAAAGCTCTTCTGTTGTCTGCACGACACTCCTGCAGAGCAACCCAAGCTCGTCCAAAGAAATCAGCCACACTCCAAGAAATGTCCTTGACCGGAAGAGGGGGGACATGACGCGGGGACACGAAGCGAGAGGCCTGGAAATCCAAGCGTCTCGAATCGACCGCGACCCGTGACCAGGCTCAGCCGAATGGCTCCCAGCAGACGACAAAGCATGTGACCACATAATCACACAGCTGAAATCTGTGCAACTGGCCAACCCAGGGGATCTGAGTTGGAAAAGCATATACGAGCCGTGATTTGTCCACCTCTTGCTGGGGGAGTCAGGCTGTACTGTGACAAAGTTCTTGTGTTCTCCAAGCGGGCAGCCCATCCTTGCGCCCTGCATGGCTGCCCTGCTTACAGGGACCCGTCCTGCTTAAGGAGCAGCCTCTGCTCATGGAAGGCGCCGCTATACACAGATTGTCCAGCAGAGAAGCTCCGAAGGAGCTGGCCGGACACTAAGCAACGCAGGCGCCACAACTGCTCTCACAGGCTACGAGTAGTGCGAGTAGCCGCACTCAAACTTTCAGAAATAGGGCCGCGGCTGGCTTCGCATTGCAGCGGCGCTGTCACTCGCTGCGGCCACGGTCCGAATTCACGTCTCGGGCGTCAGGTTGCGGTCTCACACCATCGGCCCAAGAAGCTGTGGCAACATGGTCTCGTGCCATGCTGGCAGGCGTTGGTGCTATGTCACGGGCCCTTGTATTTGCGACATCGACACGGCAGCTCAGACGACACTGTGAATTCTGAACGGCTCGGACACAAACGCCAAGGAATGCAAAACAGATTCTGAATTAAGAAGTGTTGGCTTATTGGCTTAAGCCTTAAGCCGTCAAGGTGAGGTAGGGCAGTCTCTCTGCCTCACCTCCCCAGGAGCCTGCTCCCAGTTCTATGGCCACAGCCGAACGCAATGAACAGAAGCTTCTCAGTTCTGAGCTGTCCACAAACCGAAAGAGGCTCTCATAATGCAAAATTCCATGACTAGCCTTCCGCCAGCCGGTCTCTCACAGAATCGCTGGCATGAAGATTTCCTGCATTTGAGGGCAGGCACCGCTGATGACTTCAACTTGCTAGCTCTTCCTTGCTTGTGCCGTTGAAGTTCCTATCGGCCTATCGATGCTCCAGGATGGTTTCAGGCTTCCAGCTTCAGGGGATTGTCAGGCGAAGGAAAGGGGGAGGAGGCTGGCGCGAAATGAAAGCGAGGCTCAATGGCAAACGAACAGATGTCATGGAAACGTCAGGGGAGCAGAGAATCTTAATTGTTCACATGTCTCAACCAGTGTCTTGTCTGGTTACTGTGCTGAGACAGAAAGAAATGCAGGCTTGATTGATGCACACGGTAGCTGTGTCTTCTCTTACGGCTTACGGAAAACATTCGTCGATCTCAGCTTCGGGACGGTTTTGTACAAGTTCACAAAGAGTCCACAGAACTCGCTGTCCTTGGCTGCACTTCGTGCTTCCCTTGCCTGCCCGCGCTGCAACCAAACGAACACGACGTCTGTCCAAAAAGAACCTGGAAATGCTACCGAGCCTTGGCTTTCTTGCGCAGCTTGACTTCCCCTGCCAGAACACCACGACCCTTGTCGGGCCAGAGGCGGGGTTTTAAAGTGGGTTTATCCTTGAGGGCAAGTTCAGTCAAGAGGTGCGATCGGCTTGTGGATCCGGTGGTTAACACGTCAGTCGTCACCCCCTCTGTCGCTCCCGGAGCGTCAGCGTCTCCCTCTGTTTCCGTAGGCCTAACCCCCTCTTGCGGCGGCCGTCTGCAGGATGCTTTTCGTGTCAGGCCACGAGCCACGAGCTGCCCACGGACCCGGCTGTTAGTCTGCCTCTCAGAGTCCCTCTCTCTCTTTACTTTCCCCACCCTTGACAAGGTACCCCCTGGTCACCCCCGGGCAGGGCTTTAGGGCGTCGCTAACGTTGAGCTTGCTGCGTTTTTGAGGTCCCGACAGGCACTGCTACACCAACACGAAGCAAATATCTACAAACACGATTATCTGCAAACAGCTTCCTCTTACAACATCTCTTCACTCACTTCTTCCACGGTGTGCTGCAGCAAGAAACAAAGCATGGTTGCCGGGTTTAAGGAAATGACCAACATGCAAACAGATATCGGAATGAAAAGGAAACATTCATACCGAGGCTCCCCTGTCTTTGACTGGTGCGAGTGTGAAGCAGAAGGCGACGGATTACATCTCTCTCCTTCTTTCTTTCGCCAAGGCTTGCCTCCCCACCTCTCTGTCTGTCTCTTCTTCCACTGGCTCTTGCTTTCGTTAGGGCTAGGAGCAAGAGGGGCGAGCCACTGGTTTGCTTGCTTGCTTGCTGGGCGTTTGGAGGGGGGTCATGAGGCCCCACCCCCTGCGCGCGAGCGCTACGCCTGTGTCCGAGGTAAGTCCTGAGGCGAGCCACTGGCTCTCTCTCTCTCTCTCTCTCGCGGGCATGGGGACGGGTCAGCTACGGGGAGTGAGATACGAACATAGGTCAACAATTGGCTAGAGCCGTAAAGTGTAAGATAACGAAGCAGTGGCTCTGTCTGTCTCCCTCTCTCTCTCTCTCTCCCCCGGGGATGAGGGTCGGTCAAGACCCCGGGCCACAGGCCCACCCGCATTTTGTTAATGCAGGAAAGGGGTGTGAGGAGCGAACATTATACCAGCCTCGACCCCAAACAGCAAGTGGGAGACAAATGGGAGACAAGTGGGAGACAAATGGGAGACAAATGAGTAGCGGTTTTTTCAGTAGTGCCGTGAGAAATCCAAATGAGCGTTAGAGAATCCTTTTCTATTAAGCAAATCAAGAACCCCTCAGCT